TGTTTGCTAGTTTTCCTTTTCTCTTTTTTTTTTCAATTTCTTTTCTGTTTATTTTTACCTTTGTTTTATAAATTATAAATCTAGCCCCTAAATTAGAACTAATACTTATGACACTACCACAATTGATTTGGCACCCTAAACAATTAGTTTAAATTTGTTTAGTATTTAAAAGACAATTAAATATTAGTTTTCCTGCAGTTTTTATTAATTTAGTGCTTTTAACTACTTTATAAAAAGATGTTTCCTCCACCATAAATACCTACGCATTATTTGTCACCTCTCGTACATTTTAGTATTAAAGTTTGAAAATCTTTACCGTTTGACTTTATTTTAAGTTTGAATTTCGAATCTATTTTGAACTAACACGAGATTAACAACAGTAACCGTGGTGACGTGACATCATTAACGTGGGATTACTGTAGCCTAATTGCCCGGGCGTCACAGTGGGCTCTCGCGGCCTACGTAAATAAAAGAATGAAAATAAGTACTCCCTCCGTCCGGAAATACTTGTCATCAAAATGAATGAAAATAGATGTATCTACAACTAAAATACATCTAGATACATCCATTTCAATGACAAATATTTGCGGACGGAGGGAGTACATGAATAAAATCTGTGTGGTGGTTGGTTGGTTAGTGTGCTACTGTTTCAACGGCGAGGTCGAGAGCTCGAGACCTCACATTCCTAGTATGATTTTTGCTGCAGTTTTTTTAAGAGAAAGAAAAAGAATGAAACGGGCCGGCCCAGCGCGGCGCGGGGTATGCGCCCGTTTGCGGCAACCGAAGAAACGGGCGCTTAAGGCGCCCGTTAGGAAATGCTTTCTCTCTCTCCCTGCCCCCCAAACCGAACTAGCGGCGGCGGCGGCGAAGTGGTGAAGAGGAGATGCTGCAATTCCCGGCGCTGATGCGGCAGTGGCCGTCGCCGCCGCTGATTCCGGCGTCCACACTCCTCCCCGTGCCCGCAACTACCCAGGAGGACGAGCTCCTCCTCGCCATGGCCGAGTCCGACCTCGAGGACAAGGTACTGCTGCTCTTCCCCTTCCTGCCCGTGTCCTTCGTCCCCACCGCACGCCGCGGCTCTAACGCCTGCCCCGCTCTGCTCTTTCTTGCTCTCGCCTCTCAGCTGAACGCGATCCGCAAGACCAACAGCAACCTGGTGATCATAGGCAAGCCCACCAACGACGTCAAGGAGGAGTACGACGCGGAGGTGGAGGAGGACGACGTCGACAACGTCGACGAGTCCGACGGGGACGACTTCGACCAAGAAACCGGCTGAGCCGTCAGGCTCCGGTGACGTTGCCCTTTCTGCGAACCAATCTGTACGCTTGTCGGAGCCCGAGATCCCCAATTATCTCTAGTTATTAGATCAATCTGTCCAAGCTATTATACTTTACTTTGCTGCGTGGTGTTTCGACGATTCGGGGGGTTTACCTACCCTTGGATTAGCCTGTTAATGCTGTTAAGTATTTATCGAAACACCGATATTAATCAGTACTCTATGTGAATGCCTTACTGCCTTGTGCTTCTTGGTCAAGTTTCTTTACAGTGAGTCTGTGATATGCTGATATTGAGTATCTTTGTTTGGAAGCTAGGGATATGTGATTCACTAATGCGCCCCTTGTATTCCTTTCTGAAGCATCATGTATGTAAATTGTGATGGTCAATCTATAGTTAGTGTTGTGGATGACCGCCCTAAAGATGGAATATCAGAGACAGAGATTGGATTGTATCATTTCGATTAGAGACAGGGTTCAATGTTTGACTACTCCAAACATGGGTGCCAAGTAGATCATCTCTATGTAAGCAGAAGCATTTACCAAGTATTGAGAGGCAATGGATCAAAATTATGGACTTATGGTTATTGACAAGGACCAGGTCCCAGCCCAGTGGTGAGAGCGCAGCGGCGTGTCTGCACCTGCCTAGCCTAGGTTTGACTCCCGGTGGATGCAAAATTTAGTCACGTTGGTTAAATTTCAGTGGACTGCTTTCCAGGGCCTCTCATTCTCATTTATAGAGTCATTATAGCAGGAGCAGCACATGCAGGAAGAAGCGGAACGACACGACAGCAATGATCAAGTAAGCTGTGAGGTAGTGGAGGATATAAACTACTCCCTCCACCAAGACGTTTTTGCAAGCTAACATAGCTTACAAAAACGTCTTATATTGTGGGACGGAGGGAGTAGCTAAGTAGCTGTTAGAAGTTTTAGGCGTCGTATCAGGTGGAAAAAGTTCATGGCTACATACATGGGCATCACCGTTGATGCCGAAGGGTGCCCTGATCCTGGTCCATTCCCTAACCCATGGTAAATATTAGTAAAGCTTCGATGTGCCATCTTGTGTGTCTGTCATCTCTATCTATATATAGTTTGATGCTCCTAATCCTTAGCATGCACAGATTAACCTTTTGGCCCCACCCTTACATCCACGATAGTGTGCATGGTCAGGATACCATATATAGTCTATCCTTGATCTCATGAAAATATATGATTTAAGGAAAAGAAAATTTTAATGTTGATCAAGTTCAGTTAATTACTTCCATGCTTGTGCCCACAAAAAGGAATGCTGTGTTACTGATGAGTTTGTCCATTAAGTCTGATGAGAATTGTTGAAAAAACATGCGCCATCAAGTCATACCCATTGATATACTCAAGACTAATTTAGTAAACAGAATGATACCATGTCAAGAAGTTAGTCATCATACAGTTAGTAAACGTGTGCAAAAACCATCTTCTCAAAGACTAATTAGAGAAACAGAATGATCGGCCTTTCAGACCACCAAGATCTGAAATGATAATAAACCAATCGTATTTCTGTATAGTTTTTCGTAGATTTTTTCATTGTGGATTTATTCAAACGTTCCTACTTATTTGTGTTCTTCAATAAAAATAATTCTATTATCTGTGTTCTTCAATAAGACTAAATATTTCTCATGTAGCTCCGCGGGTTGATGACCAGTTCCTCTAATCTCATTGTTATATTTTACTTTCAGCAATTCTACATACATGTAATGCCGAACTTGCCTTTTACTATTTATCACGTGGTTCTTCCATTTTGGCCAAAGAAAAAAGAAAAGAAAAAGATTCACATTTATAGTGGCGCTGAAACAGCAATATCATCAATATGGCATAATTACAAGGGTAGTGAGACTAACCAGTGTCTATTATGTATGATCAATTAATCATATCTCTACAAGGTATTGAAAATATTCCACCTTCCGGTAGAAAATATAAAGATATAGTCATATAGGTGGTACATTAGAGATAAAAGATGAAGAAGCTGGGAGTCTCAAACATGATTATTTACCGTAAACCCTTTATCCTAATCATGTGCTTTGTTGCCAGGAAAATGATTATTTGCTCTGACAAATCTTTTCAATTTCTCTGCTGGAAACTCCCGGAACTGGCTCATCTATTCACTGTTACACATTTTTTTACAGCATAAAAAATTTAGGGACAACGGCTGGACCTCTCAAAACAGCAACTGTATCTCACAAAGCACTCACATAAAGTATTTCAGAATCTTGGTCAAGATTAATGTATAGAAGACTGATAGCAAAGCACCAACTGGAATTGTGACTACCCAGGAGACCACAATTTCACGCACAGTCTCTGCTCTGACTCTGTTGAGACCTCTTGCAAATCCCACACCCATCACTGCACCAACAAGTGTATGTGTAGCAGATATTGGCAACCCAAGCTTAGATGCAAACAAGACCACAGAAGCGGCAGCAAACTCTGCTGCGAACCCCCTTGTGGGTGTTAATTCGGTGATTTTCTTGCCAATTGTTGCTATGACTCTATAACCCCACATTGTAAGCCCTGCGACAATTCCAAAACCACCCCAAGCAAGGACTTCAGTCGGTATGACTATCTCAGCGCTGCTTGCTACGCCTTGAAGAAGAGACAAAGCTGCGGCCAGAGGTCCTATGGCATTGGAGACATCATTGCCTCCATGAGCGAATGACATGAAGCATGCTGACAGGACCTGCATGTAGCCAAATACGCCGTAGACAATCTGCAATTGAGCTCCTCTAGGGCCAGCGACGTCAAATCCACCTTGCTGAACATCTGTATTGTCAGCTGTTGCTATCTTTTCTGCTTCTGATGACAGTAGGTCACCAAGCTGTTTTTTGATTGCCCTGCTAACAAAGACAGCTCCTATTGCCCCACATACTAATGCTTGCAGAACGGCAATGGAAAATGTCTTGCTGAGAGGGAAAGCGGCAAACGAGATTGCAGTGACACCAGTAAAAACTGCAATAGGTGCAGAAGCAGCTGCAGCTTGACCTGGATTTGGTGCGCTGTACACAAACTGAAGTGAAACATGGTTAGTAGAAATAGTGTTTGTGTCTTTTATTTAGGAGATTTTAGTTTCTGTGATTATCTGCTCAATAAGATGTCTGACTAATAAGCTTGCAAAGATATCTTGTTTTCTCATTTACCATGTTGCAAGTAAAGTTAGTATAGTACTCACCCTGCGTATGCACTTGTAAACAAGAAATGAGACTGCAGCACCCATCAGTGGAGAAATAAGCCATGACGAAGATACTCTAGCCAAGGAGCTCCAGAAAACTGCATTGACCCCTCCATATACCAGCCCAAAACCAACCATGGCCCCAACAATACAATGGGTAGTTGACACAGGCCAGCCATAAGAGGAAGCAACCTATAATAAATAAAAAAGTGTAATCCAGACAGATGCTTATGAATATATGCTACATTCTCAAGGCTGTAAACTCAAGTGCATTGCTTGTGGATATATTAGATTTGGTGATGATAAAATATATTTTTGTAAGCATGCTAATTGCATTGAATTTTCACTCGATTGTATCACTATCAACACTGTTGCATAAATAGATGAAACATATTACCTAATAATGCAATTAGTGATCCACTAAAATTTTCTTACTCCAGCATTAACATTGTCTGTTCAGTTAAACCTATTTGTTGTTTCTGTACTTTCCCTAGCTGAAGTAGTTGTTCAAAGTTTAGATAGCAACCTCTGTGAATTGGAAGTGAGGTGCACTTGAAGTTTGAACTGATGATCCTGAATCTGCCTATAACTGGATCCTAAAAATCAAAATTTAGATCAAAGTTTTCTGATTTCCACATCAACCAGGCTAAAACCAAATGTTGAATTTGAATCTGTCAAGTGCCTTTCCCTTTGCTGGTTTCTTACTTATCTTAGGATAAAAGTTTCTTATGTAATCAGGCTCCCTAGAATCAGAGATAGCATCTACAAGTGCATAGGTTTTTGCTGTTAGGTGAAACTAGTAGTATCATAAATATGCCACTGAAGATATCTTACATCTTCTGTTTATTTTATAGATGGAAACTGTGGGGATCTTGAATAATTATGTGATGCTAGTGGAACCAAGGGACCTCGTCATTTGATTGACATGGTATAACAAACCTCAAAAGAATTATCTGTGATGGAATGTTACCTGTAACCATGTACCAGCAGCAGCGAGGGAGGACAGCAATCCAGCAAAGAGCAGAGAATCATTTCCTTGGAAGACAGATGTGACGAGGATGCCCTTCTGCATGGTGCTGGTGACATGGGTGCCCATAAGGAATGCGCCAGAGAACTCTAGCACAGCTGCAGTCAGCACCGCCTGCCGGAGAGTCAAAGCACCAGACCCTACCGACGTCCCCATGGCATTTGCCACATCATTCGCTCCAATGTTCCATGCCATGTAGAATCCTGACAAGAGGGTCAGATATGCCAGCACCTTCATCTTGGTCGTCCCATGGAAGAGCAGTGAGCGCATCGCCAGTGGAACAGTGAGAGCTGCAAATGCAATCACCACAGAGATTGACATGGCCATCCGTGGTGAAATATGGAATGCCTTTGCCATCTCTGACAGCTCGGATCCTGCGCTCTGCTCCCCCGAGGCATCTGGTTTTGCACCGGAGCCATCGTCAGCGTTTGCAAAGGAGGAGAGTGTGGCACGCGGAAGCACCAGGTGTGAGCTCAGTGTCTTGGCAGGTGACACTTTAGCCAGACGGAAGTACCTCGGGCAGTGGATGGTAGGTGGCAGCTGAGCGGCAGGGCAACGGAGCAGGAGAGCGGCAGCCGCAGCTCGCCCTCCTGCTCCAGCATGTGCGCGGGCAATGGAAAAGAAAGGAGAAGATTGAGACATGGAGTGGCAGAAGCAAAAACCAGGGGGGAGCACCAAGAAGAAAGAGATGAGATGATCAGTGGAGAGCAGGAGAGGAAGGGGGAGCGGTGGCCATAGGAGGGAGCTGTGGATGGAAGCAAGAGCTTGCTTTCTGTGGTGGCCCAGCTTGGGCTGGGACGAACGAGTGGTGGGAAGGAACGAGTGGTGGAAGGGGATATCGGCAAGATTCCCGCCTAATCCATAATCTGGGGTCGCAGCGGGCTGCTGGACTGTTTGTTTTCTGTTGCATGGATGTCTGGACTGGACCTCCCTCCACTCTGTTTCTTCTCAAGATCCAAATACGTGTCTCTTCCTGTTGTTTTGATTCTCGGCCTGGCCTTTAGCCTGGCACTAGTATCTTCTTAGGGTAGTTGGATTTTTGATTGAAGCAAAATGATGTTTCTTCTGTTCCTTTTGCCGTTTCATGTTTGCGTTATGCACTGTGTAGAGTAACCGGAACTAGTGTCCCTCTCAGGACATCATGCATTTTTAGTGTTCTTATTATTCTCACTGTTTTTGTTAATACACACACACTATAGGATTTCCTGTGCCATAATTATTACTGATGACAACAACAGCAACAAGGCTTTGTTGTTGTTGTTGTTGTTGTTGTTGTCGTTGTTGTTGTATAATTATTACTGATGACAATGTAACAGAGTGTTGTGGAGTGGAGGACATCTCATGGGTATTGTTTCCTCTTGCAAGAACGGCTGTGGTCCTAGATTCCTTCAGCGTCAGTCTTGTGGTATGTGTATGAAGCTGCATTGTGATTGTGATTTTCTTTTGCCGTTTTGTTATAGCAGATGGGATGGTACCATGCTGCTGGCAAAAGGACCACAGGGAAAATGTAACCACTTTGTGCTCGAGTCCAGACGGCTGCTGAGAGGAATTATTTTGCGTCCATGTCTCGGAGGCATCCTTCATAGTATCAGCTACGGCGCCTGCGTCACATCTACAGGTCGGCACACTGCTAGACCATTGCAGCAAAGCCTCCCTGTGCGTTTTTTTAATGTTTACAACATTTCTACAGTATTTTTTTTATTGAGGGATCGTCACAGTATCTTTTTTTCACTAAATGTGTATTGCCGGGAATCCTGAAATAATTTCAGGATAAATGCGAGCATCAGGATTTGAACTCTAGTGGGCTCTGTCCTCCTAACTATCCAACCACAGATTGGCTCGTGTCATAGTATTTTTTTTTGGTGTGTGCGAAAACATGAAGAGAAAACGTCGCAGTATTTGGGAAAACCAATACGACAACTTTGTGCATATTGGAAGAGAAAAATCATCGTGTGTCTGGCATCCCCTTGTTTTGAGTTGTGAGTTTTGAACAATATAACTTCCTACATGTTGGCCAAGGTAATTTGAAACTGTATTGTGGCCAAAGGATAATTATTGGGTTTACAATTCTAATGAACTTGTGGCATTGCATGCATATAATTTTTTTTTCAAAACGGAGGCAAAAGATTTGCCTCATCTATTAAATAAGAGGAGAATAGAGTTTAGAGTTTTTACAAGCGCCCTTGCAAAACGGCATGGCAATTACTCTCGTACAACAATACGCCCTAGTTTCTTAGTGTCGGTGTACTAGAGTAGGGGTACCCTAGTACCCCGAACTTGTGCACGGGCGGTCGCAGCATCCCGCGGCAAGGCTTGCCGGGTGACCGCCTAGACCCTTCGTGGTTCCCTTGAAGACCATTCAAGAACAAAGTACTCAAACCAAGGCCCCGGCAAGAGGAGCTTGCCGGGAAGGCCAACCAAGGCCCCGGCAAGAGGAGCTTGCCGGGAAGGCCAACCCAGGCCCCGGCAAGAGGATCTTGCTGGGAAGAGACAAGACCCCGGCAAGAGGAGCTTGCCGGGAAGGCCACTCAAGGCATACCAAGAAAGCTTGCCGCGATGCGCCCTGCGTCCCGGCAAGGCCCGGTGAGCAACAAGCTCCCAAACACGACAAGACGACGATCGCGGCAAGGAGCTTGCCGCGGGAAACCCCCATTTCGTGCCCGCGCTCCAGCACACCTGCTAACGTGTCGCTCTAGGACTCTCCCAAGCACACGTGGCAGGAGGCCGCGCAGCTAGGGGTGCGCGGTGGCAAGCAGAGATGAAGAGAAGGCCATCGTGGCGAACGGTGGCGCTCCTAACGGTCACTTTTTGCACTGTTTAGGCAACTCAGACGTGCATTCAATGACCTTGTCCCCTGCCGTCAGAGTTAGGTAGGGTGCACTGTGTCCACAGTAGCGGTAGCTGCACCTACCGCATCCTTTTCCATTTTTACCCTTCTAGTCTACGTTGCCACCTGTCGGTGACCCCTTGGAAGTATAAAAGGTGGCCCAAGCGCAACGTAGAAGGGGTTCGGCTCATTCGAAACACCAGAAACACTCCCACGCTCAGTCTGATAGCGTCCATCGCTCCTGAGCAAGAATTCAATACACACAAACAAGCAGTAGTAGGGTTTTATGCATCCGTGCGGCCCGAAGCTGGGTAAAACTGCTCGCGTGTACCGCCTTGATCCGCTCTTTGCTCGACCTCCTCCCTCACCGAATCGAAAGGGGCTCGGTCCGCCGATCCCCATAGGTGTTCGTGGATCAGCTTTCCCCGACATCTTTGGCGCGCCAGGTAGGGGGCGTCGAGATTGTGCGAACCCGATCCGGCGTGCACGCAAGCTAAATCTTCATCGTCTTCATCAACATGCCACCGAAGAAGAAGGACTCGGAGGCAGCTGTTCCGTCTGCGTCGCTTTCACCGCCTCCGGAGCAAACGGGTGGTGGAGTGGACGCCGGCGGAAGAATGGGCGTCGACGAGGGAGCCCTCAGTGCGGCCAAGTCCAAGGACAAGGCGGCACAGACCTCGGCGTCCATGCGCGCACCGCGCCCCTCTCAGGAGGCGCGGGACCAGCAGCGTCATGGCGTTCGCAGCGCCATACGTCCGCTGGGCCAAGATCAAGCTGGTGGTTCTCGTGGCGCTCAAGACCAACATGCACGTCAACATGCTGGCTCGAGCGAAGTACGGTCGCCTGGACGGGGCACTGCTCCTTCTAACGTGGTTAGGAGTCCGAGCATGCCCCACTCCTCGCACCGTTCACCCCCGCCGCCCACCACTCCAGCAGAAGCCTTGGCGCGAGCTCAGCTGCTCTTAGACTATCCTCCGACGGCGGACAAGACCGATGAATGGAGGGCCACTATCCAGAGCCTCATCGGCTTCGCCAACGGCGACACTGCGCGGCAACCAAGCACCTCGCTGCCGCGGCAGGACAGCCGGATGCGAGCCGATGGCAACAAGACCGGGGGAGGTGCGACTTCCATGCACTCTCCACTACGAAGGCCAAAATCGCCGACTCGCCGGGTCCACCCCGACAGCGGCTCCACCGCGTCGTCGGACCCACGAGCTCGTCGCGACCAGCGTCAAGTTCTCCATGAACGACAACAAGAAGACGCTCGAACCCGCATCGAGCGCCGAAGAGAAGCGCGACGTCAATCCGACAAGCGCGCTGGGCCCTCTGTTGACATGCATGCGCCAGGGGAGCCAGGCGATCTGCCGTATGCGGTAGGTTGTCCTGCGTTCACCCGTGAGCTGCGGCAAGTCCAGTGGCCCAACACAAAGAATTTCAAACCAGACATACCAGAGAAGTACGACGGCAAGACGCATCCGTCGGAGTTTCTCAGCATCTACACCATCGCGGTGCAGGCTACCGGGGGACGGGACGACAAGATCCTTGCCAACTACTTCCCGCTGGTACTCAAGCCCAACGTCAGGTCCTGGCTCATGCACTTGCCGGACAATTCCATCTCCTCTTGGGCAGATTTATGCCGTCAGTTTGTCGGCGCCTTTACAGGCGGCCACAAGCCACATGGCCAAGAGAGCGATCTTCATCTGCTCGCCCAGAAGGAAGGAGAGCCACTGCGCAAGTACATTCAGAGATTCAGCCGTGTACATCACAACATCCCAGACGTCCACCCCGCCGCGATCATCAACGCGTTCCATTAGAACGTGCAAAACCGAAGGATGAGGGAGGAGATGGCGATGTGTAAGATCAGAGACGTCAGCGAGCTTTACCCCCTGGCCGACAAGTGTGCACGCGCTGAAGAGGGGAGGAGGCTCCCCGGAGAGAGTACAGGAGCAGGAGGATCCGACAGTGAGGATGCTGCCCCGGCAAGGAAAGGCCGGCGGCGGAACAACAGAAGGAAAAAGGACAAGGAAGTGCTAGCTGTCGAGCAGACCGGCGACGGAGGTGGCGCCAAGGAAGCCAAAGCTGGTGGCTCCGACAAGGAGGCCCGGCCTGTGGCGGCCGCCGACAAGCAGGACAGCTCTGGCAAGCAGTATTATAAGATTCACCACACCAAGGGTCACGATCTCCAGAACTGCAAGAAAGTCGAACAGCTTGTTGAGCAACAGAAAGCTGAGTACGAGCGGCGCGACAAGGAGAAGGCCCAGGAAGGAATTGGTGGATCCGGCAAGAAACGTCCCGGCCGAGGAGGACGTCGCGGCAAGGCCAAGCAGCGGCGAGGAGATAGGCCTCCCCGCGGCCGCGACAAGGATGAAGATGACAACGACGATGAAGACATGGATGATGAGGAGGCTGATGAGCAGGAGTTCCAGAAAGCCACAGAGGTGCTATGCATTGACGGTGGTGCTTCTCTGCATACCTCGCACCGTCAGCTCAGGCAGTGGGTGCGGGAAGTTAACGCAGCAGAACCACCCGTCGAGTCGCGCAGGCCTCTGAAATGGTCCAGCACGCCTATCATCTTCGACATTGAGGATCATCCTGACCGCGTAACTGCGGTCGGGTGCTTGCCGATGTTGGTTTCACCAACTATCCGCAACCTCAAGGTCACGAAGATGCTAGTTGACGGCGGGGCCGGCTTGAATTTGATCTCCTCCGCGGTCCTTCAGAAACTCCAGATCCCTGACAGCGAGCTCGAAGAGACCGGTACCTTCCAAGGAATCAACCCGGGAAGGAGCAAGACGAAGGGGAAGATCACGCTGCC